TAGAAAGGAGGAGAGGATTCAGAGGAGGTGAGCACCAGCACAACCAGTTGGACTGGCACCAGGTGCTGCACTCCAGTACTGAGCGGGCAGGGATGGGCGATGCTGAGAGCAGATGGAAACGTGGACCCCCAGGTACAGAATGGCCCTGAGGTCCCCCTGTGCACAATGCAGGTCGATGAGAGTTCTTTTCCTGCACTGCAAAAGAAAGCATAGAGCCGCCCCAAGCCATGAGATCCAATGGGGCTTCCATGCAGAGGGTCTCGAGGGCGGTGGGGGGCGAAGCAAACCCGCAGTTCTCTGCAGATAGAGGATGGAGAAGGTGGGGAACATTTTTTAAAAACGTTCCGAAAACATTCCATCCTCTATAGGAATCAAAGCCCCATTGAAGGCCACAGAACCGCTCACATTCGAGGTTTAATGAAAACCAAACTTTTCGTGCCCCTGTGTTTTTCTTTGCGGGGATTTCCAGGGGAACACAACGGAACCGAAGGGGCGGATGGGGGGAACTTGGCTGCCATTCCTAGCATCCTGATAGGGCTCTCACTGTGCTTTTTGGTTCGGGGTTTACAGATAAGGCAGCCTCACTGCTGGGGGTCTGTCGGGGTGCTCTCAGAGCTGGAGGAGTGGGGGTGCGTGGCCAAGGGGGCCCTACAGCACCGCAGACCCCCCCTGGCTTTTGCAGCATGTTTAATCCCCTCGTTAACGTTCCCCCATTAGAACAATTCATTCTTTCACTCCGGCTCAAACACCCACCTTGGCTTTACAGCTCATTTCATTTACGACTGAGAAATGAAATCACGGTATCGATTTCGCGGCAGGCAGCGAACAAACCCGGGTGTTCCCAGCTCTGCCGACCTCCAGAAGCAGCAAAACCCACCAACGGCGACGGGCAGCGGCCCTCGGGACCCATCCCCGTGCCAAACCCATCTTAAAGAATTACATAGATGCACTTCCAGGGAGCTGGGGGGGCTTTGCAAGTCGCTCTGATGGAAAGGAAATCCTCTGCCGGGCAGCGCTGGTGAAAATGTTCCTCCTGGAGCAGAGCCAGGGGCCCAATGGGAGCCAGGGAGGGGCTGGAGGAGGTGGGGACACCAACCCGCTCCAGGCTGCAATTTATCCATCCCCAAAGGGCCACTGATGTTGTTCCATCCCTTCTGTTTTGCTGCATGGTGCAGCCATGGGCTCCACCGCTCTGTGCGTTGGGGCGGCTGCCCCACGGTTCCAGCAGGACTGGGCAGGATGGGCCGTGCAATAAGCAGTGATGTCCATAGCTGGATGCACAGCCCTGCAAGAAACCGAGTGCCCAGGAGGTGCTGGGCAGTGGCAGAGGGCTGCTGGGGCTGCTGAGGTGGTGGTGCTGCCAGGTATGTGTCCCCTGCCACATGGACATGCCTCATCACATGTGTGTGCTCTGCTCACACAGGCAGGTGTGTGCCCACGGGTACCTTCTGGGCACTGCACACACACACACACACACACACACACACTCCTCGCTGCCCCATCACCTTCCCTTACCCCAGACACTGCCTGCTCTCTCCATGCCTAACATGGGGTCACGCACCCCAGCTTCCCATCCTGCCCTGCCCTGTCTCTTTGCAGCCGGGCTGCTCCCATTGATGGCAATGGAGGAGTCAGCATCCCAACAGCACATTGCCTTTGTAGAGCTGAGCCAAGGGTGCAGAGTGCACAGATGTGCAGAGTGAGAGTGTATTTTAATGCAGAGCCTTCTGATCTCCTGGCCCAGCCCAAGAGAAAACACCTTCCCCGCGTCCCGCCCTGCTGCTGTCAGGGGATGAACAGTTATGCAGTTGGCTTTGTTTGCATGACTTCAATAAGAAACTGTGTGTGATTAAATTGCAGCCCTCGTGTGGAGCGGCACGCTGTGCGCTTCGGGGGAAGCTCAGGCTGCAGTTAATGTGCCCTACGCAGCTGCTGCAGAACCGGTGTGTGCTGCTGCCCGAGGGCTTGGGGTGGCACTGAGACTCACTCCCCAGTGACATGGCCCTGTGGGGCAGAAAGGGGCTGGGAGGGTGATGGGGATCCAGGGACATGGGGTTAGGTTTGGGGTTTGGGGAGGTGATGGGGAACCAGGGACATGGCATTAGATTTTGGGGTTTGGGGAGGTGATGGGGATCCAGGGACATGGCATTAGATTTTGGGGTTTGGGGAGGTGATGGGTTCCAGGGACACGGGGTTTGGTTTGGCAATGGGAAAGATGCTGAGCTGCAGGTGTTGGGGGAGTAGTCACCCTGGCATGGGCATGCAGGGGGATCTGTGCTGGAGCCCTATTTGTGGTACAGCACACAATGGGTGATGGGCAATGGGCAGTGGGCGATGGGAGATTAGAGGTGAGTGATGGGTGGTGGGCAGTCAAGGGGGTCAGTGGGTGGTGGTGGGGGATGGGTGACAGGGGGTGGGCAATGAGAGATGGTGATGGGCAATGGACAATGGGCGATGGTGATGGTGATGGGTGATAGCACCCAATGGGGGTCGGAGGTCCGAGGGCTCCTCACATCTGGCCCCACTGCTTCAAAGGGACAGGACTGTGCTTGTGGGGCACTGGCTGCTGCCCTGCACAAGGCTCATTAATGGTTTGATGAGGGAAAGGTGTGGCCCTGTGGCATGGCACCAAGGCGGGCTCCATCCCACCTGCCCTGCATCGCATAAAAGCTTTGGGGAAGTGATTTATAAGAAGGGAGACAACGCTGCCATTCAAAGAGGAGCTGTGCTCAGGGTTTGGTGTGGAAGAACACAGCGCTGCGGGTGAGGAGTGAGCAGAGGGGAGGCACCAGGAACTTGTAACCGTACGTTTATTATTCCACATGGAAAACCATTAAAACGATTACACGGAGGCCTGACAATATAATCATGTACAATGGATAAGAACATCGACACCAATAATGGAAAAGCAGAACTGACCACTTTGCTATGGCTTCGTACCAACGGCGAGGAGGAACCCGGCCACCCTCTGGAAGCCAACGCAGCAGCGATGTCCCCAATGACTTCACCAGGAGCAGCCCCTCCTCACCCCCCCCCCAACCCCCCCACCTCCCCCCACCCCAGTGACAAGTGCTACAGGTTAAAAAGATGGGCTACATATTAAATAGAGGGCATTGCCTTCAAGTAGGGCCGGTACGTTACACAACAACCACATTATTTGGTATCACTAGCATTTCTTTTTAATGTCCATTGTAAGACACCATTAAAAAAAAAAAACACCACAACAGCTTTGGCCTTCTTTATCTACAGCGATCTCTGTTCTCATCTCCTTAGCTCTTTGTTGTCGTTTTACCCTGCATGTACAAGTATTAGAAGCATTCTTAAGAATCGGATCCTTCAACACATTTAAGAATTATATTATTATAACAAATATGACCAAAAATTAGATTTTATAGTTAAATATTCTTTGAGCCGGACAAAGGGGTTCATACTGTACAAGCAATTGTGCATTTTCTTTCTTTTTTTTTTCTTTAAAAAAAAAAAAGCAAATTATAGTGCAAAGCAAAAAACATTGGCCTGTCTCGTGACCATCTGCATACCATAGAGGTGCGTATATTTACGCCTTCACATGACAATATGTCATAAAAACAACATCGTTGCTTTTCTTTTTAATTCACTACGAACAGTCATAAATTAAGCTAGTCCTACGAATGCCTTGTTTGCTTGTGCTTTCAATCAGTGGTGCGATTGGATGATCAATATAAATGCATCCAAACACAGGCTGCTCCGATCCAGTTTCTCCAGCTGGGAGCACCCAAAGGTGCCTGCTGTTGCTTAAGGACGTGAACGTTGCAGTTTTGCTGGGGAAGGGATTTGGGGGTGGGATGAATCTTATAGGAGAGCTGTTTCTCTTGTTGCATGTTTAACTCACTGAGTGGTCATCGCAGCTTTCCGACTAAACAGGGACGCCTCGCTCCCATCTCTGCATGGTAGTGCAATTAGAACTGATTGCTGATGAGCTACCAACTGAGATTTGGCAAGAGGTGTTGCGGCCATAAGGGCATAAATTCAGCAGGGAAGGATGGGGGGGCAGCTGCTGGGTTTATGTTTTCTTGCGCTCGTGCACAAAGAGGCACAACGAGGGTCGTGGATTCTTTAAGATTGGAAGAGACCTCCGAGGTCATCGTGTCCAACCACCAACCCAGCGCCGGTGGGAATGGATGGAATCGTGGTGTGTGCTGGAGCTCAGGCAGAGCCCCCAAAGGTTCCACAGTGACTGTGAGTGCCGGTCCTTCAGCTGCTGAGCCGACACCAGCACCCCAAGACACCTGGAGGAAAGGAGGGGATGTGGGATGACAGCTGGCATTGCTTCACGACCTTCCCACCATGAGAGGGGCTGAGTAGGAAGCGCTCCTTTCTGCAGATCTCAGTTGGTGCTTTCAGCACACGCTGGTAAGTGCCGGTCGTTGCTTAATAAAACAGTCGATCCGCTCCTGGTGAAAACACAGGAAAGAATCACAGCAGAAGGAGGACGCTTTGCCACCAGCTGCGTGTGCAGGCACTCAGAGAGGATGAAAGGAAGACCCACAGACCCACGGCAGCACAGTGCCAAAGGTTCCCAGCCCCACAGCAGCTCACGAGCCGGGAATTTGCATCTCACACATCTCGGATTGCCCCCAACACCGCCTTCACGTCACACACCACCATCATCATCGCTGAGATCTGCTAAGAGGAGCAAAGAATTGAACGGTGAGGTCAAGGCGAGAGAGCAAACAAAACACAACGCATCGTGTGAAAAGTACATCTCATATGTAAACATAGAGAGGGGAGGGCCTGCCGGGCACGGGATCAGCCACGCTACTGCTTAAAAAACGACGACAATGCACAGAAATGAACAATACAGCCTCTGTCGTCAGCAAGGAATAATCACAGCCCCATCACAGCTCCCGTTCACGTGGCTGATGCCGACCCACGAGGGACACACAGCCTGTAACTTGTGCTGTAAACCAGAGCTCTTTGCTGGGCAGCAGCCCTACACTGCTGGGAGGGAATGAGAGGAGACAAAGGTTTCTTTCCTTTTTTTTTTTTTTTTTCCTTTTTTTTTTTTTTTCCTTTTTTTTTCAGTTCAGTCTTTGTGCTTCGGCACAGAGATGGCTCGGATGATTTCCTGCTCTTGTCTCTGGAGCGCTTTGCAGAAGGGCGAGCTTTCCCTGACTCCTGAATGCTTTGTGTGGGGATGAGGGTGCAAGTGAGATGACCGAGAAGTGTTCGGCAGTAAACAAACATCTGAATCCACGCATCTTTTTTTCCCTATGTACAATCCACATATTAAAACCATATGAAAGGAACCACATCAAGCGACAAATTCAAGCCTTGTGGACGTTCATCTTGAAATGTAACGTAGGTCCCGGCCCAGCTTTGCTTGATGTTTGCCCGTGGTTATGTGTAGAGGATTCCTCCTGCTTTGCTTTCGGTTTGGGAGACTTTGGTTTACCTTTCCCCTCGGCATCATTTCAATGGGAAAGGAGTAACGTTGCGGCGGCCGATCCGGTTAAAGCTCTCGGTGCCCAGCTGCCCTCCTCCTTCCTAGTAGGGTCTCCAAACCGACTCATCCATCCTCCCAGTAGTCGTCATGGTTGTCGGTGAGTTACTGTGGCTCCCATCCGCATCCACCCCGTCGTTCTGATTGCCCAGGTTGGGGTTCATTAAGTTGTTCCCCGCCGAGGCGCTCGTACACGAAGAGAGCATCCGGGTGGGGGAGCGTTCACCACCCGCCACCATGGAGAACTGATAGGAACCCGACGACGTGCCGTAGTACAAATGGTAGGGAGAGGGGTTGGTCTGGAAGGGTCCGCTCTGGTTCTGCGTGGAGCCGGGGTAGGGAGGAGGCAGGTAGGTGTGGTGGAAACGCGTGGTGGTGGGCATGCTGGTCATGCTGATGCCCCCGATGCCTGTGGCTGAAGGGGTTGCGGTGTAGGGGAAGGCGGCTGACATGGCGCCGGGGTAATGCATCCGTGGGTCGGAGAACCTGGTCTCGGTGAGGGTTGGCAGCGTGGGGAAGGAGCGGTCGAACTGCCGCGGGTCCGAGAAGGGGCTCAGCTCTGATGTGCCTGTGGGGTGCAGGGAGAGAGCGGGCGGTCAGAGCGCCGCGCTGGCAGCGTGCAGCTGGTGCTGCAGCCACGCTCTGCGCGAGGAATTAAAGCCAGAGGGAAAGAACGTCTCTAGGATCTGCTGGGGATGAGAGCTGGGAGACTTAAATACAAAAACCCCGAACCCGTCTTGTTTGAGTCGTTCCCATTTCCTGTCCTGAAATTTATTGTTTCCCATCCAAGAAGGGACACGACTAAGCTGACTCCTCCCGGGGTCTATTAGTCTCTGGTAGATTAAAAACAACAACAACAACAACAAAACCCACCTCATAAACAAAGAAAGAAAAAGAAATGTTTAGCCATTACATCAGCTGTGTAGTAAATAGATGGATGCAGCCCCAGACGGCCGCTCCCCAGATAGCCGTGCTGTGTACACACGCACACACGGAGCCAGGGAGGAAAAGCTGGAGCCCAGACTGGGCTGCTGAGCCTTCTTGTGGGTGGCCTGTTCGTGCTGATACCATCAGGGGATGGAGCTGATAAACACACGGCTGAAAACTCCCAAGCTAGGAGCCACAACATCCCCCTCGCTCGCTTCGCTCTGTGTATTTTTCTCCATCCAAGAGGATAAAGAGAGTGAGAAGTTCAGGCTTTACTCTGCTGGGGGAAGGGAGCCCTGGGTCAGTGTGGGAGATGCTGCCCAGCTCCCTTCTCGGGGGGTATGGATGCACAGTGGGGCACAGCCCAGTGCTGTCGGGTCCTTCCTTTGCAGGAAACCCAGAGGGAAGGGGAGCCCACACCAGCAGCTCCTTTTGGGACCTGAGAGGTTTTCCGTGCCCACCCCTGGTGCCATGAGACCATTTCCTTACTGAGCCCTCTGTGCAGGGGGCTCTCGAGGCAAAGAGTTTTGCTCTCCAAGGAAGATGTGAAATCCTGCTCCCCGCAGCTCAGCAGCCCTCACCAAGCTCTGGCAAAGGCTGTACAGGAGGGCACGGCCATAAATGCCACCAGTGCACTTTTCTCAGCCTTTCCACACCGCTCGTGAAACAAAAACCTCCAGGAAGAGCAGTTCCAGCACAGAGAGTACAGCTGGCACACGGAGCTGAGAGCTGTGGGCCGTCTGGAGGCAGCTTTCCCTCACTAAAGGCAGGGATCTGCACCTCGCTGCTTTGGGAGCAGAATGGCCTTTGGCCGTAGTGACTTTTTCTCCAGGCTCACCTCCTCCCCGTGCTCTGCAGGACGAGACACGCTCTTCCAAACTATGGGGAAATCCCTGCAGTGTTTCCCCAGGAAAAAAACACCCCAGCTGCTTCCTTCTAGCTGAGCAAAGGCTGCAGCTCACGCTGCTGGTGCAGATGGGGAGAGATCAGACTTGCACCCCTCCTGGTCTGGGTGAGTCCTGCAGCCCTCAGAGGAGCAGGCAGTGCCCACTTCCCACGCAGGCTCCACGCAGGAGAAAGGAAGAATACCTGCGTGGGGAACGTGGCTGCGGCTTTGGTGCGAGATAAGAGAGGAGCAGCTCAAAGCTGTCACGAATTGCAACGCGCTGCCGCCCCTCTGCGCACTGCTCTGAGGGCTGTGTGCTTGGGGCTGGCTGGAAAAGCACCCACAAGTGAACAAACCGAGTTGGTTTCACACTCTGGTTTGCCTGCAGGATGCTCTGTCCCAGTGCAAAGCTGCACTGCTGCAAAGCACACGGGCTCCAAATCCCCTAAAACGCAGTGATGCTCAGCTGCTGCCCCGGAGACAGTGATGGCACCCAGCAATCAGACCGTGCCCCTCTGTTGGCTCCCACACACCCGTAAACGATACTCCAGAAGATGGAAATAAAACACGGGTGCTCAGGGCACATTTCCCTTCTGCTCCGCCACACTCAAAGGGTCCTTTAAAAGCTCCGTTGTCTTGGCCAGAATTTGCAACACTTGGCAACTGGTACTTGCTGCTAATTGGGACACAAGAGTGTGAGAGCGCTAATTACAGCCGCGTTCTCATCTTCACCTTTGGGCTGAAGGTACCCCAGAACAAAACTCCATCTCTCTGCTATCCCCCACCTACCCCAACCCCACGAGAGCTGCTCCGGGACGCCCGGACAGCGGCAGCAGCGGCCGGTCGGGCTTCTCGGGCTTCCCATCCCCGCTGGCCTCCGTTGCACCGCAGAGCAGGGAGCAGCCACGGGCTGTCGGTTCGACTGCAGGCAGAGGGACGGGGCCGCGATCCGAGGCGGAGGGGCCGCTAGAGGGAGCCGGGCGGCCGCCGGGCGAAGAGAAGCTCCGACCCGCTCCCCACGTCGGGGATGCGCCGTCGGGGCTGCGCTCAGATCCGACAGCCGCCCCTATTCCCCACGTCCGAAGAGGGACTCCTGGGGGACGGGGGGGGACTTAGGGACAACCCCAGGTGGAGAATGGCCGTAATTCTCATCGCATTCACTTCACTCAGCAATAAAGCAGCCCTCCAGCTACGGCTATGCAAACCCCGGGGGAAGCTGCACCCTCTGCCCCTTTGGCATAGCAGACAAAAGTCAGGTGGGGTTGTTCCCATCTCCAGGGTTGTCCCCATCCCAGCACAGCCTCGCAGGGTGCATGCAGTGTGCTCTGCTCGCTCGCCATCCAACCCCCATTTGCTTTTTTGGGCCCTGGCAATCTGAGCTTTGAGTATTTCAGTTGTCCAGTTGCCAATCAAAATATTTGAAGGAAATGTTTATTTTCTTCTCGAAATCGCACCAGCTGCTGCACTAACTGAATAAGCCCATTTAGCTGTAAGAATTTAACCATTGTAAGAAGGAATTGAGCCCCCCCAACTACTCCAAAATCTGACCCAATCTATCAGCGGAAATGTCAATGTTTTGGATGGGAGTTTGGGGAAGTGAGGAATGTGTATTAAATAAAAGCCATGTAAAGGTCAAAGCCCTGATTAGTAATGCCACTGTCTCCTCGTTAGGGCCGTGCTGCCCAGGGGACCACGAGGCCAGGGCACACCCTGCTATGTAATTGTGCAGCTGCAATAAGCACTGTGAGAGGACCCCATATCCCCCCACTCACAAAGCCCGATGGAAACAGACCCTCAGCCCCTTTGCTGATATCACAACCGCTCTCAGGTGTCACAGCAGCTCTGCTTTCACCTCGGAGGAGATGTGGACTGAACTGGGTCAGGGCCGGTGGGTGCTTGCAGCAGTTTTGGGAGCCCTCGTGGAGCCAAAGCAATGTGATGCATGGAACCTGAGTGACTCCAAATCCCCCCAGGGACAGCTCTCTGGTCCCTGCTTTGGAGATGTGGAGAAGGTGCAATGGTTTCTCCCTTAAGTCAGCAATAAAACAGAGCTTGAGTGTACGCAGCAGCCACAAACCCATATAGCGTGTGGCACGCAGAGAGAATAAAGGGAATCTGAAGGGAACCTGATAACGTGGAACTTTCCGTTTGTACAGAACACATAAATATCTGCAGCCTGGCCAAATATCACTGCTTTATTTATATGCATATACGTGCCTTGCAAAATTGTCATGAAAAATTTAGCCCGAGGGAAAGCAAGCTCCTTTCCTGCCTTATGCCATGATGATTGACGACAATGTAAACACTAATGATATTTTATGCTCATGTATATAATACGCAGTCGTGCGCGAGACGGAGCGGGGACAGAATTCCTCTCCCCATCTACACCTCCTGCTCTTTTTTCTCCCATCCTTTCTATGATGCTTGGATGGTTTTTTGGCATCTTTCTGACCTCTCTCTGCCTCCTTCCCCTGCTCCCAGGGCTCCATCCCAGCACAACGGGGCAGTGGCCAAGGATGGGGAGAAGCAGCGCTGCAGGGGAAGGGGGATGGGGTGCACTGAGCCCCCCGGATCCAGCTCATCTCTAGACAAGCATTGCTCTCCTGCCACCCACACACACAGCCACGCTCCCACGGCTCTGTCACACATGTGAACAAGTTCATTTGTTTCCCAGTCAGAGCCAACTAAAAAAGAAAACGGCCTCTTCCTCTCACCCCGCAGAAAATAGAGCGGGTTTTATTTTGGGGGGGGGGAAGGGGGAGGTGTTGAGAAAAAAAGAAAAAAAAATAAATGAGGGTGTGAACAGCATCCGTTGTTACACACCCATAGAGCAATTGTTCTGTATCTGATCGAAGCAGAGCACAAAGCCGGTGCAAATACTTCCTCTGCAGAGCCTGACAAAAAAAAACCCGAACCCAAACACGGCGCTTATCGCCAGGCACCACCTCGAGATCACCCAGCACCTTTGCTTCTTGCTTTTCTAACTGCAAGCCCAGCACCCTGCAGCACCGCTCTGCTTCCCCCCCTACTCCCCCCTACTGCTCCATCTGGGGGCAGCCCCCAGTTCCCCCCCCTCCACAACTCTTTGAGGTCCATAGGACGTTTGTACCCCTCACTGCCCTCCCCCTGCCCTCTTCTCCCCCCCTTCCAGCCGGCTGAGCCCCCCCTGTTCTGTGCCACCACTGCTTACATCAGCTCTCCCCATCCCTGCTGTTTATGCCCTGGATGTATTTACAGAGCAACGCGCTCTGCTCCCAGCCTGCCCTATGCTAGACTAAACAAGCCTGCTGCCTGTCCTCTCTGCCCCCCAGCCCCCCTTCCCTCACCATCCCCGCACTGCCCCGCACGGCTGAGCCACCAGCTAACGAGCTAACAGTGCTAATTGGCACGGGTGGGTGGGCCGAGCAGGAGAACAGCCCACACTGCAGACCCCCCAGCAGCTTCCCTGCACTCTGTTCTTTACCTGCATTCAAAGAGCACTAAAAATAATAAAAACCAACCCAACAACGACATTAAAACAAGCCCTGACGACATAAAAGGAAGCAGCGGGATTTACAACCCTGCCTGCACCGCTCTGCCTGCACCCACAGCGCGTGGGCTGCTCCCAACCTGAGCCCCTCTGACCATCAGCCCCAGCACCCATCACACAGCAGGGGAGCTGCACAGACATGGGTGCATTCGGAGCCCGGAAGCCATCCTTGCAGTGTTCCTTCCTCCGAGGCTGAAGCCGAATCCCACAATATGTTTTCTTCCCACTAATGCTTGCCTGGCTTCCTTTGGAAACAATTTAGCCTCTGCCCACGGTAGAATGTTTTTATCCATTAAGAAACGGATATTTTAAAGAAACCATAAGTCGATCTGGACAGGGATTAGGAAGCAGCAATTCAGTGTATTTGCTGGGCCCATAATTCAGGACTTAACCTCAGAGCAGCCACGTTGCATTTTGGAAACAATGGGGCACTCGCTGGCTATGCCAAGAAGCTGCTTAAAAGTAATCTAATACTTTAAAATGTATATTTAAAAAGAAAGAACGGGAGAGAGAGAGAGATTTTACTTGAACTGCATATGAAGTGCTCTGCTGCTGAGCAGCCTGTGTTAAAAACACTGCATTTGAGAAATGGGTTGTTGAGAAACGGATCACAAACCCAACTGGTTCTACTGGGCAGCGTCCAGATGAGAGCTGAGGCTGTTCACCAGCAGGCACCAAGGCTGGGAAGGGAGGGATGCAGTCTGCAAAAGCATCCAGCAGACGTTTACAGTGCTGTGAGGTCAGGGGAGCTCGGTTTTGCTGCAGCAACATGAAGATGTTCAGTGCATTTGTCACAACAGCTCACTCTAGTACTGCAGAGATCATATTCAAAATCACTTTGCAATTGGCCCCCTGTACCCAAGGCCCCTCTGTGCTGCTGAACAACGCACACAACTCCTCCTGAGCAATTGGAGATGTTTCCAGCACGAGGCCAGCAGGCAGGAGCCGGCTGCCTGGACGGTCCTCTTCTGTTGCAATGGGAATAAAGTGGTTCAGATGGAGCTGCTAGAGCACAGGCAGGGCAGCGAGGCTGCAGGGCTGTCTGGGTTCTCCCAAAGGATGTGCCTGTCAGCAGCCCACTTCCCCAGAGCAAGGGGCCCAAGAGGCAGCCAGCAGCAAGTTCCTTTAACATCTCGCTTCGCTTTTGAGAGCTACTTGATATTTTTTTTTAATATATATTTTTTTAATTTTATTTAAAGCTCGAAGACAACAGTGGCAATGAAGCCAGCATGCAAGGCTCTGGCATCGCGTGCCCCATAATCAGGAACCATTTCAGGCCATCCTAATGACAGTATGGTGCCTCACTGCAGAGATGGGAGAGCCAGGATTTCAAAACCTCGGATTTCCCAGACCTCACTGGGGGAAAATTGGGCCAAACCCTCAGTGGATGCCAATGGCTCTGCCCAGCCCACTGGGTTTCTCATTTTCTCTCCCTGCACAGTGGATGTGGCCAACAAACCCAGCGCGTTCAGGGCTGCAGACGTCTGTTCCATCAGAACAAATGGCTCCCCGCTCAGCTGCAAGGGGCAAGGCAGGGCTGGAGCCTCTGCAATGAACTGAGCCTGGGCAGTGGGCACTGGTGCTGCTGGGAGATGCTCAGCATCTCCGTGAGCACTTTGCAGGAGATGTTTATAACCCCCAGGAGATGCTGCACCCAAAGTCTGCGAATGGCTGAGGGCCATTTCCTTTCCCATTTACACCAGTGCCCCTGATGTGATCCCACTGCAGCACAGGGGAGGACAGAGCAAACATCTCCAAAAGACCTCAGTGGACAAACCCCGCCTCCTGAGCTCCTTTCTGCCTTGCAACCTCCACGTGCCCTGCTTGAGGACCCAGGCTCTGCTTGCCCCTCAGTGGCTGAGGCTACTCGGAGCACTCCAGCTCATCAGTTTGGCCACAAGCAGATCAGGGATCGCTCACACAGTGCACTGGGTCAGCAGAACCGGGAGGTCACCAGGAGAGGTTACAGGGGATGGGGACAGGAGGACCTGCAGCACCCAGTGAGAGACAGCAGGGACTGGTAAACTTCAGCCTGCCTCATCCATCCCTCCTAACCAGCATCTCGTTATGCTTTTGCTAATCAGCTTCTCGTGTGTGTTACCTGAGAATGTGCCAAGTCGTGAGAATTACAGGCCTGTTAACTCCCGTGTTGTTCTTGGCATGGGGCAGCCTCCACTTGCTCGGGTAAAAATTACGATCTTTGTGAATAAGCTGTGTGTGTGAGAGCAAGAGGGTTGGGTTTTTTTTTAATGATTATTATTCTGCTTGGTTATAGCCAGCGCTGTGTCAAAAGGCTGAGATTAAAATCACTTGAGGCGATTCTGCTCCTGGTTTTTAAGACGGTTCCTCCAATTTGGAAGCAGCAGAGAGCGGAGCGCGCACGAAGCGCAGCTTTGCAGCATTCCTGGTCCTCCTTTGGATGTGCTCCACAGGAACCATTTGGGATGGGCTAATTCTGTGCGTCTCCACTCCTGCTGTCACTGACATTTGGGAATTTGGCCCAGGCGGTGACTCGTGGCCCGTTCCATTTTTCTTTCTGTATTTGTGTCATCACCTGATTCTTTGCTCCAAATGATGCTCTCTGGGTTTCTGGCACTACAGGGGACTGTGCTAATTTAAACTATTCCCTCCCAGCCTCCTCCAAAGAATCTCTATTGTACAGCCAATGAGATGAGTCTATAAAACTCAGCCTCTCTTCTTTTAAACAAAAATCGAATGATAATCCTACACAAAATGTTCTTCTCGCAAACCGCGCTGCTATCATTGGAAATTCCAAGCATGGACTGAGAAATAAATTAAACTTTCATTGTCATTTGGAGTTGGGAGGAAAACCCTAATCGGCTTTTACAATTCAGGTGACATTTTCTAACGTATCTTGGTGCCTCTGCCAACCCCCTGGCCAACAAAACTGAGGTCATCAAACATCTACATCACTTCTGAAAGCGCAGCTCTGGGGCTTTTGAGACTTTCAGCCCCAACCCTTCCAAGGGAGACAATTTCACACCAAAACTCAAAGCCCGCATCGCTTCAATAATACCCCATAGATCTCTGCTTGTACTTCTGCTGATTCTCAAAGGAAAGCAACACCACGATTAAAAACACACGGGAGGGAACTCGGGGCTACCGTGCAGATGAGAGAACAGCTCTCTTAATTACAGCGGTGCCGAGCAGTGCAGCAAAGCAGCCAGATCGCTTCACATGCAGCGCCTACACCTTGGGGACGAAACTCCAGCACACAGGACGGGCAGGCTGCAGCCCCAACCTCTTTCCTGGCAGCTGCCAGGCAGACACACAGAACACCTGAGGGCTCAGTGCCACTGATAGCACTGATGGGAAGAGCAAAGGCTGCGCGTGCGCCCATGCAGGTGTGCATACATGTGGGGAATGAGGCTGGAACAAGGCGGTGGATTGCTGGGCTTGGCATCAACACAGCTCAACAAGATAAGAAACCATTTGGATTAGCATGTAAAGTGCAATACACCCTTTATAGTTGATGCTTAACCGTCTGCACAGCGCCTTCATATCAAAGGAGTGACTGGATTCCAAGCACGTTGCTTTGCTCTCCCAGCATTCCAACTGGAACTGCTTGGTTTTACTGGGTGAAACCACTGGAGCGTGCAGCTCAGCAGCCATCTGCTCACCCCATGGGTGTGAGGAGGCTCCCAGGAACAAAATCCCAACCCCAACCTTGGAGATGCACGCCAGTCTTACCTTGGATAGGAGTCTGAGCCTGCGACCCGAAGTGGCTCGGGGTGCTGAGGGATCCACGGGGGCTGGGTGTTGTGGGGGTGACCCTCATGGACTGACGCAGCCGCTCCAGTTCCCCGTAGCGGTCAGCAAAGGGTTTGGTTTGGTCTTCTAGCTTTTGTCTGTGCCCTGGAAGATGATAAGAGAGGATGGTGTCCAACCCGTTCCCCTTTGGTGGGTGGAGCACAGCAGGAGCCCCCTGCCTCCACAACTAGGGAATCAGTGAGGGAAATGCTTGGTTGTGTTTTCTATAGCATTTCCTCCATGCACCCAGGACAGCCTCTTGTCCCACTGCAGCCCCTGCCCTGCTCTGCCCATGGCACCGCTTTGCTTCGCTCCGTTCCTCTTCTCCCAGCCCTAAAGCAGCAGCTAACGAGCATTTGCAAAGAGCTCCCAGCTCCTTAGGTAGCAGCTGCTGGAACGGGGCAATAATAATTATTAAATTTATGCTAATAGGCCTGAGGCAAGAGGCGCATGAAATACACTTGATACATAACTTTCCCATTTTACTACATTAATCATTGCCGAACGGCTTCGCTCTCCCTGGGCTGGATTCCAGCCTCAGTTACAGCCGCACGAAGCTGAAGGGCCCCACATCTGCTTGGCGTGAGCACGGTGTCAGCTCATAGCAAAGTCACAGAAGGTCCCCAGACTTTCCCCTCCTTCAGCCTGGCATCTGGTATCTCCCCATCTTGCCTCTGATTGGCTTGGGATGCGCTCCCAGGCTTGTGGAGCCTCTGGGAAGCTCAGCCCTGACTCCAGCATCAGCTCCAGCCCTGCTCTCTGATGTCCCCCCATTGTTCCCATGCACAACTCCAGCCCCAGTGCCAATGTGCTGATGCCACAGAGCAAGATGCTCCAAAAGGGCTCCCAGCAGAAAGGAAAACCTGGTGGTATTCTGAAAATGCAATTCCCTGCTTGGTTTACCATGTGAAGTAAACCAAGGAAACCTCGAATCCTCACCAGGATCTAATCTCCCTGTGCCCCAAGACCTCAGGCATCTCCATGTTATTGGAGGGTCCTGGGAGACATAAGGAGCATATGGGGAAGAGATGGGTGTGCAATGAGGTGTCTTGCTCGGGCCACATCTCATCTGAACACACAAGAAGAAAAATAGGTGGAAATAAGTTTTTCCTCTAGCACTTCTCTCAGGCACAACTTAGCAGAGGAGCCAAAAGGACTGTGAAGACGAAGCTGCACAGAAATTCAATGGAAATGTAATTATCTGCCCCTACCTCAGTCAAAACCCCATCCTGCAGCAGTATTTGGGACGTGACAGAAAACCCTGAAGTGTAAATCAAATGATGTTGTTAATGCATTTGAGCATTATTCAGCTGCACGACTGAACCGAGGGCTTCACGCAGCCACGCTGTGCTGCACTGCAGTCCCTGTGCTGCTTCCAGTAAATAGCAGTGTCCTTTGGAACAAGGTTTCTGTGCAGGCTCAGCCTTTACCAGCAAAAAAAAACCCAAACCTAAGGCTGTCTTGATAAAAAATAATGTAGAAAACTCGATGTGGATGTAAGCCAAAGCAAACATTGGGGTTGGTGTAGGAGGTGAGCAGCAGTGGGGCTCACACCCTGGCCAGCTTCCCCAGGCCCTCCCCAGTGCGTGTTGTCCATGCCTACCTCCATCCATGGGGCTGAGCTGGGACAGCACTGTGTTGTACAGAAAAAGGAAGAGAATGAGTTAAAAACCAGCAGCCCCACGGACTACCAGCCCTGCTCGGTACAAGCTGTCTCCCCAGCATTTCCTGCTGCTTGTCACTGAGAGCTGGGGACGTCAGACTTTGTCACGCAAGAGAGAATTGCTATTAATGGGTTTCTTTCATCAGAACAACCTGAGCTTTTTTATTTCTGCAGCGGTTGGCTTCATTAAAAGCCCTTCCCCATCTGCCCACAGCTGACATGCAGAGGAAACCAGCGCCGTCAAACGAACAATAGCTCATACCTTAGAGAAAAGGAAGGTGGTTTCGAGCTTAACCCAGGGACTGACTCAAAGCCTCCTGAAGTCAGTGGGTGGATTTTCAATTGACTTCAAACAGTGTCAGACCTCAACCCAAGAAATCAGTCAGAGGAGGCTTCAGCGCCCTGAATCATTTAATGCTGATACTCAGTGTGATGACGTGCAAATTTGGATAGACCACCTCAAATCCTGACGTAAGAACGCGATCTGCATCAGCCCAGCAAACAAGAAATCCCACCAAACACCTCCCAGCTGGGAGAGCTGTGACACTTAGGCCAGTAATAGGGTGCATCCTGGAAGTTTGGGGTTTTTTCTTGGAAAGCTGACAGCAAAAAGCAAGTGCTGCACCGAAGCCCAGGCCCTCCAAGCTGATTTAAAGGCATGCTTCTGCACTGAAAGATTCCAAACACCAAACAGACCCTACTCTTCTTGCCAGCAGAGCAACCTCTCGTGGCTGCAGGGGTGTCTGCAGCACCCAGCAAAGCACCCTGCTTCCCCAGCTGCAAATACAAAGCTGACCAAAAGTAGAAAAGGGACTCCAGGACCTTCATAGCGTGAATGATACCAAACTGTCAGTGCTGCTCAATTGGTTTTGGCCCAATACAGATGCTGGGGAGCCCAGCCCTGGGTTTCTCTACATGTGGGGGCAGATGGAGCCATGGCCAGGAGAGGCAGGGGCTGGGCAGAGTGCAGCCCTGTGCTACCAGAGGAAGGGGAGCAGATGGTGGGAAGTGGCTTGTCCCTCCCTGGTCGCCTTGCTGTGAAGCACTGGCAGCAAGCTGGAGCAAAGGAAGCACAGAGCATTTCTGCTCAGAGTGGGGGCTGTTCATTAACACACGCATTTGCAGATCATTTCCTTTACTCCACTGAGGAGGAGATGAGAACCAGGAGACAGTAGCACGGCCAGGGCAGAACGCCTCAGCTGGGATGTGCTGTGGTTACTCCAGCTGAGCTCCAGCAGCTGTCGAGCCCACTGCGTGCCCACCAGCACAGCCACCTGCACTGCAAGGCCCAGCACGGCCACCAGCACCCACCTGCTTCTCTTCTCTGCAGCCCAACCAAGGAGCAGCCATGCAGCCTAACAGCTCAGCCTCTACGCGTCCATGAGAATGGACTGGAAGAAAGCAATCAGCAGCGGATAAAACTCCATCTCAGTGCACAAAAACACCTTTCACATCCCTCCCGAAGCCCTCAAAAGAGGTACTTTGGAGAGATGCTCCAATCCTTTAGAGAGGGTTGAATTTTTCCCAGTCTGAGCCTCAAGTCCCAGCATGAGCTCTGGGAACGAGCCACATGAGAAGCGCCTGCGTTATGGGAACATCAGGGCTGTCCCTCGCAGCACAGGGCTCAGCGGTTTCATCTTTGCATACCCACAGTGCAGGAGGTGAGTGCCCCTCCAGCCCTCACCCACACCTCCAGCTCAAGGCTCGCCATGGGAAATGCCCAGCCAAGAAGCACACAGCGGGTCCCAGAGCCACCAAAGGATGGGAGAAGAGGACGGGGAGCTCCACAGAGCCCTGGTGAGCAGCAGCACCAGCCCACTGCTAAGAGGAAAAGAGGAAAACGTTCGCAGGGACCATCTCTTCTGCTGCCTAACAAAGTCAAGCACAGATAACTCATTATTCACATGCCTGAAGTCGGCCTGCTTACGCCATTTGGAAAGAGAATCAGTCACGGCGAGGCTCTGCTTTGGTTTCCTCTGGCTTTCATGAGACACTGCTGCTACTGTCTTCCTCCAGCTTTGAGAGCAGGGCAGTGTCGCAACGCAGAGGATTTACACCGACTCCAACAACGAAAGGAAAATAATATTTAAGGGAGAAAATTAAAAAAAAAAAAAAAAAGAAAAGAAAAAAAGAAGCTGCTAATTTCTAAAGCTTTTTTAGCCAGTGGTGGTCCGAGATGAATTGGCTGCCTCTAAAAGGCTGAAAATAAATATCCCTCTTTTTGAAGAAAACACGCTGGCTCACAGCCAGCTGGCAGGAAGCACGGAGATACGTTGCACTTACAGTGGGTTTTTACTGTCTGAAGCTGCAGCAGTGGGAGAGATGTTCATTATATGCAGGCTGGTATTGATTAGCTGGTTTGCAAGCCCCTAATCTCCTCTCACTTGTGGGTTGGTCCCTTGGCTTCGCCTCTGCCTCTCTCCCTGCCCACCCCATGACAGGAGGCCACGCAAGCACACAGCTTCTGATAAACCCCATCGTGCTTTGGAGCCCTGCTGACACCAGCACACCCCCAAACTCAGCCCTCTGGGAGGAAAACAAATTTGGATGGGACTTCCAGCAGCTCCTAACGATGCAGGAGCTGCGGCTCATGGTCAGGTTGAAAGGAGCATCACACCCAAATCTCTGTGCAGGTTTAGTACGGACCCCTGAGGGACATGGGCTCCCCACTCCTAGGGTTTGCACAGGAGGACTGATCCTGTCTGGATGCACAAAGGTATTGAAACACTTTGCTGTGCTGGTAAAGCTGGTGGGAATCCCAGCAGCAGACAGGGTAAAGTTCACCAGGTCTTCCCATCCTTTAACACCCCTGAGAAAAATCTGGCTCTGAGGCTGCAGGGTGAATCAGGAGGGATTTAAAGGTCTTGACTGAAGAACTGAAAACTTCACCCAGCACGTTTGTGGGAAATCCTGCAGCTTTCATAGCAAGGTGCAAAAAAAAAAAACAAAACAAAACAAAACCCCACCACCCTCCCTCGCTGCTTCTGCTCCCATTTCCAGGAAGGCAGAGCTCAGCTATGGGCTGCCATCCAGTTCTCACGGAATTAGGCAAAAAAACCCCGATTCAAAGATTTCGAGGCTGGGTGCTGGGGAGGAAGCAGACAGATCTCAAGCACATCCAGCTGGTATTGCCTCAGTCGAGTCTGAGATCAGATTTCCAAGTGCATACATTAGCTGTCAGTGCACAGATCAGTGGAGTTCTGCCAGTTTGCAGCAGGCAGTGAGTTAATGCCTGCTATCTAACAATTCGAAATGGAACCTGTGTGGTACCAGTATGGCTGGTTTTTCCCATCTAATAACCTGTTCCATTAGGGCAAGCGCATCAAATTCCTTTGGGTGACACTGGTTAGGATTAGGATACTGTGCCCTGGACAGGGAGGATCATCTGCTGGGTTCAAATCCGTGCAAGGAATGTGCAGTGTTACAGCTAATGCATACGAGA